AAAGTAGAGGAAAGAAAGAAAAGAGTGAGGGACAAAAAACAAAGTATCCAAAGTATGGGATTATTTCAAGCTAAAAGAAAACAACAACTCTGTAATGTCACAGTCCATCCACCGTAAAACGAAACTTGTGTCGCCTGAGTTACCAACAGCACGACGGCACCTGATCAGAAAGCACCCGGTGTTCTGCCAGCGGACCACCTTAGTATAACTTGTGTTGGTAAAGCAGTTGTCTGGTTGTTGGTCTGTTGATCTGATGTTTGCTGTTTGACACACTATGAATTTCTGAAAGGACAAATAAATATCATCCATCAACGTACACAGCTGATCCCGCTACCGTGGGGGGAAGGAGGAGCGCCGCCGCCAAGCAAAAGTACTTCTTAAACAATGCATTGATGAATTGTTGAAATAATCTGTAGAAGCTTCAAGCACTAAAATCATCGTTAGCTGCACCCTTAATGCAAACAAGAGGTAAGTGAATGGTTGTTACTCATTCACACCTCAAGTCAACATTATTAATTAGGGCTGCACGATTAGGAGAAAAAGTCATATTGCGATAGAATGGAAGAAATTGTACTATGATTCTACTAGCTTGCTTATAAAGGAAAATACTGCCATTTAGAAATACTGCCATTTGAAATGTGCATTTCTCAGCTCAAACAAAGTTAAACATACATAAGAAGAATACTGTTTTTTTTGCCACTAGTCCAAAAATACTGATTTGCCACACTGTAAGACTAGTATAAATGTAGTATAACATTATAACATTAAATTAAAAAGTATGTTATGTTAATAGTACACTGTTAATATATTAATTTCTGTATTCATTATGGTTTCATATAATAGTTTACTATTTTACAACAAGTTGAATATTAAATCCATTTACAGCAGTTTCGTTTCTGTGGGTTGTTTTATTCATTAAATCCTTGTGCAAGAAAAATGCTCTACACTGGTCTCTAATTTGTCAATGACTTGTCAATCATATAGTTCAATATTTGAAAGTTTGCTGTGATTGGTCGGTTGACAAAAAGGGACTGACAAGCACATCGGCTTTATGAAAAGTTGAACATGTTGAACAACAAAAGGCACTGATACAGCTAACGTTAACCAACGTTCTTCAGTCTTACTGCTTCTGCGGCCTACTACACATCTGTGTCTCAGTCTCACACACACACACACACACACACACACACACACACACACAGGCATTTCTCTCGGTGCTCCGGTTTTGAAGTATCAGCAGCGGAGCAGGGAGGGGGGGGTACGGTAGGTTGTTGTCTTAAACATTACTCACACACTGCCCATAAATATTTTTTCTGGTTTTAGGGGCATTTATGAGAACCCAGTGTGGGCGTGGATTATGAGCAGACTGTAGTGCACACAGAGACAACAGTGCCACAGACACACAGCATTTTTTTTTATTATTAAATGAAATCGTACCCTTTTTGCGGTTATGTAATGCATTGAAGCAGCAACTCTGTTAGAGGGATGAACACCATTCCAGCTACTAGTGTGTGGTGATGACCCAAGCCAATACACAGGATGGGGATAGGGTCTGATCCAGGCATTCTTTGATCGTATCAGCTATACAAAGCCCAATCCATTTTCTGTTTGCCTTTAGTACGCCAGCTGCCAAGATGTGACCCCTACTTTCCATTACAGCAAATCCCTACAGCATTGAGAGCAAATTACATGAACTGTAGAGTTAAAAAAATAAATACCAGCCAACAGTTTTAATTAACCTAATGAAATGACAAAATGCCCACCGTACTTAAAAATGACTCCTTGCTACAGATTTATAAAAAAGAGCATTGGTATTAGATTGGTATTTGCTATTGTCCTTGTGTATGTAAATGGTAATACATGATACATGCTGGATTTATAGACAGTGTACATCCAAAGCACTTCATAATTTTCCTCTCATTCACACACTGATGGCAGCGAGTTACCATGCACGGGGCTGGGCTGACCATCACGAGCAGTATGATGTTTACTTTTGCCAAAGGACACTTGGACATGTTGGACCTGTGAATCAAACTATCTATCCTGTGATCAAAAGGGAAACCCACATCTGGCCTTGTTGGGCCTCACAGTCTCGTAGAACAAAGAATGGCCCTGACATCCTACAGGCCTGACCCCGGCCTGCTGAATTCCTAAAAGCCTGAATTGGAGTTATTTCAAACAATGGACTGTAAAACAGGCGCCAAAGCCCGTTTCACACCTATGTGCGAAATAGTGAGTCAGAACTAAAAGCAGAGCAGCTATTGGCTGCGCTTGTAATCCTTCATGTAAGTAGACCTGAGCACAGACAGAACATTGTCTTTTCCACAACTGTGCAAGCGGTGATGGGAGACACAACTTTCTCAGTGCTGTACTTTCTTTGTTCCTGAATACACATTTTACTCTCTGGACGAGCTACTCTGTTTTCTTCTTTTTCCTACCTACTCGCTACCAAAAGCGACACGTAAGAGGCTTTCGTATGTCTGGGCAGCAGATAGTTCTATAACTTTGTTATTTTAACTTGTACAAGCTTCATGTAGCAAAATGGTCACACTGTAGAGCCCTGTGGTATATTGTATGTATACAGCTTTTCTCTGTGCCTTTCTCTCCTCCGTCTGCTTACTACCCACACATGCACACCACGTGATCTCTGAAGCTAACCAGACCTGTGACCCACAGCAGACTAGCATCGGAGGTCTCCAATTTTTTTTAGTTCAGGAGAGAGTGATTCACATGGTTTGAACCGCCATCTTGATTCCAAAACTTACACACACACACACACACACACACACACACACACACATACACACACACACACGCTTGCTAGATTATTGTATGTTTTTGTATGATTTGCTTATTGGCTTTATTTCATTTTGCTTAAATGATAGTGATTAATAGTGATTTACTTGCTAAAGTTGTTGATCATTGATCTGTGCTTAAGTTGAATAAATCCTATTATAATTTTAAGAAGTTATTGCCTGTGATTATTTGTGTATAATGTTGCAGTAAGAGTTTGTTGCCACGGCCAGTGTACGGACTCACCCTTATCTGTTTACCATCTACAGGTGGACAAACTCTCTTTTAGACTGATCATATTTGGCTCATATTTGAATATTGGCCCTGATTCCAGGTTGTCACCCCGTATTTATTAATTATAATTAATAATTTTGAATTATTAATAGTTTTATTAATATTTCTAGAATATCTTTGATGTTCAGCTATAAACCAAACCTGACCATATGTTGAAAACCCCAACAGCGAGAGAAAAGGTTGGATTGCTGCATCCCTATCATTTTCCAAGGCTTCGAAAGCTACATTCCAGAGTTCCACATTATCCCAGAAGTATGGGAACAGTTAGACAATAAACAGAAGGTAATTCTTTGTTGCAGAGGAGAGAGTGAACATAAATGAGATATCCAGTGTGATATATCTGTCTCAGATGTGAAGGTGAAGGGTCAGCTCATAGCAGAGACAACTTCTGTCTTGCATGATAGATAACATTGCGAGTGCTCGACTGTACATCTGGTGAGATGAGAAGATGAAAGGGCCTAATTAACATAAACCACTGTCATGATATCGTTTCTGCCCATTCCTCCTCGTATTCCACTAATTAACAAGCAAAATCAAGACCGCATGAAATTACCAAACAACCAAACAAAACTGGTGCTTAACAAAATTGATTTTGACAGTTTCTGGAAAGTCTGAGTACTTACATGGCCGCTACATCAAATAATAATAATTACATCTGTCACAGAGACTACACATGGTGCAGTGCAGCGGGTGACTGGTGAAAGGAAAACAACTAAACAGCAAACACAGAACTCAAGCGTGAAATCTGTGACCCATCTACAGCAGTGCTCACAGTGGTGGAACAGCACCACCATCTCACCACCACAAACACCCAGTTTGGAGATTTCTCTAAACTGCAAGTAAAAAAATTGATTTTTTTTATACAACTTGAGCATCAATTAAATACATAAAACTGAAGATGTGTTAGAAAAAATTTCTGGTAGTTAATTGAAAGCTTACACCCTCTTACAGTGTAAGAGATGAGCAATTTGTGATGATCTGTTCCTTCCCTGTGTTTTGGCAAATACCTTTGAGGTTCTCTGAACTGTATATAGAAAACAACTGTGCTAATGTAGTTACTACATGGAATATATATATGTGTGTGTGTCCCCGTGTAGAGTTAGAGTTATTTAGTAAGTAAGAACTGTATTTCTGTAAAAAAAAATAAAATAAAAATAAAGATAGAAAACAAAAAGAAACTCAGAGTAGCAGAGTGGTGAGTATGACACAACTCTGTGCACCTTCATAAGTTTGCTGCTGGCCATTTTCGATGACCCAGTGCACCTGAAATCAGCTGTATATGATAAATATTTGATGTGTATGAGGGAGTGGGCTTTCCACACAGATCACAGCTTTATTAAAGTGCTTCTTATTAAAGACTATCAAGTCATGAACAGATTATGCAGAGGCGTTTTGTAAACATTGATAGATTGTTAATATGCATTGTATGCAAAACTGCGACTGTTTCAAAGTGTTGTGTTTATTATTGTTACCATCGAGACAAAGGTCACCTGACTTCATCCTCCAGCTCATAAACTCAAAATGTTTCTGAGTTAGTTTGTATCTGCTTCCGTCGAGGTTCCAAGCGAGCTGAGGCGATACTAAAAACACAGCAGACTGCTGATTGGTCAGAGAGAATAGTCACTATTCACTGCGTCATTATTGTGCGCACCTGACAGGCCAGCAGCAGAAAGTTTTATATTTTACAATTTTTATACCATCTGCAATGGAAAATGGAACACGGCCAAACCGAGTAGAGTCGAGGCGTACTGTGCAGTGGAAAAGGGGCTTATTGGGTTGAAATCTTTAGTTAATAACTTAGGTGGGGAGTGGGTCAGGGGACTTAACTCATACCAACCCAACCTGTGGTGTAACACTAAGTTTATGTAGTCACCAGTGTACAAGTTGATGTAAACAGAAGGCAGAAATCTTACTGATCAATCCGTTGAATGGGGAGTTGAAGCAAGTCCTCAAGCTTTTGGTTGTTGAACTCTGGTCGGGCTTCCTGTAGTTTCTTAAAACGCCTGAAGGCTTTGTTTTTCTTCAGATGGATCTAAGACAACGCATAAACCATTGTAAAGTTATTCTCACAGACATACAGGGACATTTACAAGACACAACTTTCTGCATTGCAAAGTAACATTTTATGATGCCCGGTAACTTTTTTATTTGGACTGTTCGATATTTTGGGGATTATATTGGGAACAAAATCTCTTCCACATGCAATAATAAAATCACCTTCCCTGTTCAAGAGAAATCCCATCCAAACAGGGCTTAAGTAACAGATTTTCCCAGTTTCCAACATTATTGCTCCTTGTTTCTTTTGTTGAGAAAATAGTAGAAGAAAAAGTCCTGTACACACTGTACTTACTAAAGACTAGAGCTGTGCAATATGATGACTAAAATCTCATATTCTGATTTAGATCATGTCATATTCCCAATAACGGTATATATCCCAATATAGAACATATTTTGTAAATCCAATGAAATTTGATGAACTCGGCAGGACAAATATCATGATATAGAGTGAACAACGACACAGAAAGTAATGTAACTGTAATTACTGTTAGCTAGGTTGTGGGTTAGCAAGCTGTCACTACCCGCTGCTGCAAAGTAAACATGAGAGGACGAGACGGTCCCAGAGCAGAACAGCAGCTCCAGAGAGCGATACAACTCTCCTGCTGCTGTTCTGCTAACATCACAACAGCAGCATGTCTTGGTGAACTAGAAAGTAAGCTAAATGTCCAATATCCAACGTAAAACTAACTTTACCGCAGTGCAAAGCCTCATCCCCTCCTCAAGTGTTGAATCTGCGACATGACTAGTGCATTTCTCAACTTGAACAAAGTTAAACAATATTCATAACAATAACTAGTAACTAGTGTTGCTCTACAGAGCAGGCGGCTAGAAGCAGCACATGTCAGCACACTGGCATGTCTAATGCAGTCCACAACCTGGAGGAGGAACTGTACATGAGTGTATTAAGTATAACGTTAAGTTGAAATTACACTGTGTGTGTGTTTTTTATATATATATATATATATATATATATATATATATATATATCCCTACTCAAGACTACACTTAATGTACTATATCTTTGTAGCAGTTCATATGGCTTAAAGGCATTAATATGATGAAAACTTAAGTAAGAGGAACATATATATAGGGCCGTGTGATATGACAATATATATTGTTTAACGATAGAAAAATGTCCATCGTTAACAATTATGCTCTATCGTTTATTTCATTGTGTCACAAATTCCACACTTTACTGTAATATTTCCGCGAGGGGATGGTGCTTTGCACTGTAGAGAATCTAGTTTTAAGTTGATATCAGACATCTATCAAACATCCAAAGTAAAACTAAAATCCAACTTGAAACTAACTTTGCCGTGGTCCGTTTTTCCACATGTTGTGATAAACTGCTTCAACTACACAGAGGGAGGCCAGCATGGACCTAATTAGTGCTAATCAATTAGCTGTGACAAAGGGTGTGTGTGTGTGTGTGTAGGTGCCTGCTGGGACACATGTATGCATACATGTGTTTCTACTATACGATATAGTTGGGCTTATATTTTGAAAATAATATACATTTGTTTCGTGTTAATACATCCATACAGTGACCGCTAGGGGCATATATTTTGAAAAACACACCATCATGAGATTCCTGTTACGGTTCACTTACTCTATGGGTCTTTTATTTTGAATAGCATCATCCTGTTCCCTGTGAAGATACAGTTACTTTCTGGGTCTTTTATATTGAAAAACATCCTGACTTCCATTTGCTGTCCATAACAGTAGTGCTGCCATACCACACGGTGGTGCAGCTGGTCAGAAAGCTCTCAACAGTGGACCTGTAGAAGTGGCTGAGGATCTAAGGTGACATACCGAACTTCCTCAGTCTCCTCAGGAAGTACAGCCGCTTTTGAGCCTTCTTGACCAGAGGTGTGGCGTTCATTGTCGAAGTGAGGTCCTTGCTGTGATGTGGACGCCCAGATATTTAAGGCTGCTCACCCTTTCTACCTCAAGCTCCCAGATGAACAGTGGCTGATGAGATCTCCTCTCCTTCCTCATGTCTACAATTATCTCCTTCGTCTTGTCAGTACTGAGGATGTTGTCCTCACACCATGCCACCAGGCTGGCCACCTCCCTCCCGTAGGCCGCTTCCTCCTCGCCATTAATACGTCCTATCACTTCGGTGTTGTCCGCAAACTTCAGTACGATGTTGTCCTTGTGGGAGCACAGTCATGAGTGAACAGCATGTAGAGGATGGGGCTGAGGACGCATCCCTGTGGAGAGCCAGTGTTCGTTATAAAGGTGGCTGAGGTTCTGTTGCCGATCCTGACTGACTGGGGCCTGCCAGTCAGAAAGTCCAGGAGCCAGTCGCAGAGTGTGGGGTGCAGTCCAAGTGCAGACAGCTTGTGGGTGAGTTTGTGGGTGATGGCTTGTATTAAAAGTAGAGCTGAAGCCAACAACGAGCATCCTGATGTAGGAGTCTTTGTTTGGGCATACTGCATTGGGTCCAGGGTGTTCGGTATTGTGCTCTGAATGTGAGCCAGCACCACTCACTCAAAGCACTTCATTATGATAGGGTTATTTTTGGGTAGGGGACTGATAGTTGCTGCAGGAAGGTACAGTGTTCTGGCTGAGGGAGAGGAGAGAACATCAGCTGAAGCAGAAGAATAGTAGCTCATTCAGTACTTTGCAGCTTTGTACTCCGTCTCATTGCCAGATCTACGTGCAAGAGAGTGAGCACGGAGCGTGTGGCGCACCTGACTGTTTATGTTTACTGTCCAGGGCTTCTGGTTGGGGAACTTCCTGACTTGTTGTGTGGGCACGATGTTGTCAACACAGGTGCTGATGTACCCAGTCACATGCTCATCGTAATCCTATATGCTGACTGCCAACACATCCCAGTCTGTTTGAGCAAAACAGTCCTGTAGGGTGCTCTCAGAGTCGAGCTTTCAGTACGTAAACAAACAAAGCAGCATGTAACCTTTCAGACCCAATGCAACGACAACACCGCTGCGCAATGAAACCCATTATTTTCAATGGCTTGCGCCACGCCACGGCAGTTTGTTGCTGCATTGAGCATCGCTCGGCGAGCGCACAGGCACAACGTTGTCAAGGTAGTTGAACAAATTGCTTCTTTTCGGAAAGGGCCTTTATGGAAGAACGTAGTCCTCTCAAGACCTTCAGTCACTGAACATTTAATGTTACATCCTGCGGCCTCCTCCTGTCAGTGTTGAGAAACTGTTGCCAGGTGTAAAACACTAACATAACATCAGGAGCTTATAAACTTCCAGGACTACCAATTACCTGCATTTCAGTTATTAATAACACTGCATGAGATGTTCTCAATTTCATTTTCACTAAAACTTATATGGATGAGAGTTGATGACAATAACAGTTCAGTTTATTCCACTCCTTAACAAATTCCCCTGGGGAATAAAAAAAATTACTATCATCCATCCATCCATCGTCAACCGCTTACAGGGTCGCGGGGGGCTGGAGTTAATCCCTGTTGAGAATTTATTTTTTGGGAACATATTATTTGTAAGGATTAATAAGTTAAGATATAACATTCATATTCATAAAACTGTTAATCTGTTAAATATGCAGTTAAAAGGAGAACTGCATTTCATTTCATTTGGAGTTAATAAAGTAAGTTCATAAAAAAGGGACTTCATTACCCAGGAGGCTCTAGGAAAGGGAGTATGTGAGGTGATGACGTCAGTGTGTGGCCGGAAGCAATGCTATAACTCTTGTTTAGCACACGCTATATGTATGTTTTTTTGGCCTTTTGTTTACTCACTAAAGGACGTCTAAATGGAATTAAAAGTTTCGCTTCGTCATTTTTAGTTATGAGCTGATTCTGCTAGCTTACATCGGGCGAAAGGCGGGGTACACCCTGAACAGGTCGCAAGTCCATCTCAGAAGTTATTATTAGTCTTTTAATAATAATAATAATAATAATATTATTGCTATTTGATTTGCACACATAATCTGATGTGGGTCATAAATTACTCTCATTAAGGCACTGAGTGAGTTCTACTGTTCAGAGTGATCACTGGTCACTAGGGCTGGGCAATAAAACAATAATGATAATTATCGCAATAAAATTTTCCTCAATAACAATATGATAAATGTTCAATATATCGTGAATAAATATTTGCTTTAGTTTATTTGAGTTACAAACAAATTAGCACCTAATTTTTTCTGTTGAAAAAAAAGGCCTGAAAAAAGATTTGAACTGTTGATGCTTGTATGTTGTTCCTCAAATGTAAGTCGCTTTGGATAAAAGCGTCTGCCAAATGAGTAAATGTAAATGTAACTAATAATTTGTTGAAAAAGATAATAGTTTTAAATGTTTTAACTCAGACTAGTGAAGTGATCCACTGTTTGGCATCAAGTGTCACATTCTGACCATAAAGAAAAGTTTAACCACATAATTAACCATCTGGTTTCTTGATTTTTTACATGGAAGCAAAAATCCACCTTAAAACTACTGATTTGAGAGAGAGTATGATAATTATCGATATCGAATGATATGAAATGTTTTTATCGTGATAACATTTTTGGCCATATCGCCCAGCCCTACTGGTCACCCAAATAAATAGCACACCTGACACTACAACACACTTCCTGGTTCAGTCAGTTATAAGGGATTACAAACTGCAAAGAATCAGTGCAAACTTGCAGGGCTTGATCCATAATTAATGCAATAAGTCAATGCTCTGCAGATACATGCATTCTCCTAATTAAGACAATATTTTCTTTGCACCTTTGATGCAAAGCTAGCAACAGCGACATATCTGCTGGTTTTGCTCTCAGCAGGCCAGTCCTCAAACAGAGGATATAAAATTTTAACAAATCAAATCTGATCTCATAAGTTCTGCACCTCTGCACTGAGATCATGGTCTTATCAGATAGGTCGACTGTATCAGGATCAGGGTTGGGCCGATAGATGATGCCATCGTACATCGGCAATGGCTGAAAAATGGTTGATGGTTGAGCAGGCTTTTTGGGAATTTTGGGAAATGTTAATTTGCTTTCTTCTGAGATAAAGATGAAAAAGACATCTACCTTATGCCTGTGTTAAGTATGGAGCTGGAGTCAGAAGGTGGTTACCCTAGCTAGCATAAAGACATGAAAGTGTTGCCATAGCAGTGCTGGCATCTCTGACAGCAGTTGAACTGATGGTTTTAGCAACAAAGAATCTAATAACCACTTGTGCATTTGTTATTGTGTATTCAGTCCAATAAGTGAGGAATACACTGGCCAATTTTCCCACAGGGATTATTAACAATCAAACCACATCAAATATAATAAACAGCTTGTGAAATGCTAAGCGCAATACGAGAGTCTGACAGAGTGTCCTGTGATAACAAGGTGATAATGCTGTGTTCCTACCCCGAGCACTTTGCTGGCATTATAGATGTTGTCCACATATGTGTTGTAGTAGTGCAGATGTGGGCAGAACTGGTCGAAGCCCCGGCCAAGGTAGCCATTTTCCAAATGGACCAGCAGAGACCTGCAAAAAAAAATAAAAACAGGTAAGATATACTCAAAAAGAAAAATACCATACAGGGTCTGGGCCAGCTATAATGGCAACTGGCATCTCAGCTGTAGTTAGTTAACTTTAAAGCTGCGAGTTGGCCAGCGACCAAACATAATCACTTGTCTGTTAATATGGTTAATATGCTTTCTGCATACAGCTATTTTGGCATTGTCAAGACAATTTTCATCAAAGAAATTATCATTGTGAAATTTTAACGTTTGAAAAAGTCGTCAATGAGCTTTGTCTTTTGCGGTTCAAAAACACCACCAGTGGTGGAGGTTGTCCTCAATAAATGATCTAGGTGGCTGTCTGTTACAGGTAACAGTCTGATACGTTAATGATAATAGCTTAGGCAGTTAAGGTTCAGAACTGTCAGCTGCATTAGTTTACAACTATTACCATTTAGTGAGATTTCAAACATTGACAGACATAACTTAGTTTTGTGTTTGATTCTGTCACAAACAGCATAACACAGTGGTCCTATACAGCAGTTTGTCATTATTCCCAGAATAGCTTACCCCGCCTTTATGATGCGGAGAGAAATCAGGAGTTCATAATATTTAAGTGAATTTACAAAAAATGTTCTATGCGCCCTGCTTTGTATCTAGACATAAAATGCCAGTACATCTAGGGCTGAATGATATGGCCAAAAATGTTATCACTGGGTGGTGATGGCGCAATGGATAAGACTATGCCTTTGGTGTGAGGTTCAATCCCCCACTGTGACCCATCCTCCATTGTGTCCCTGAGCAAGATACTTAACCCCTAGTTGCTCCAGAGGCGTGCGACCTCTGACATGTACAGCAATTGTAAGTCGCTTTGGATAAAAGCGTCAGCTAAATGAATAAATGTAAAAAGTTTCACATCTTTCAATATCGATAATTATCACGGTAAGTATCAAATAGTTTTTTCTTTCGAGTTTAAAGGCTGCTGTTTGCTCCTGAGTGAAAGTTGAAGAAACCTGATGGTTAATTGTGGTTTAAAGTCTTCTTTATGATCAACACTTGATTCCAAACAGTGATCACTTCACAAATCTGAGGTAGAACATTAAAAACAATTATGATAAAATCTTTGTCAACAAATATTCATGAGTAAAATTAAGTAAAATCTTTCATTTTTCCTCAACCAAATAAACATCTTAATAAAAAAAGTCCTTATTTGTGTATGCATTTATACATTATACATTTATTGGACATTTGTTATATTGTTATTGAAAAAAAACTTATATTGCCATAATTATTGTCAGGGCTTGACATTAACACCCGCCAAATGCGGTTGGATTTCAGCCCACAAGCCACTTTGGTATGTTGAAAAATTGTAGTCTTTTCAAAAGGCATCTGAAATAACCCCCATGAGTACTACCTGCAGTAATGTTTGCTCATTGGTCAATTCGTGAACCCTATCTTGACCAACAACACTGTAAACAAGGAGACGCTGGCCGTCGGACCAAGGGCTGTTTTAGCCTGCCGTTAATTATCAACTTAACCAGCGGCAGCCATAGCAAGCTTTTTTAATGAGAATCCAGACAACAGGCGCGTCTCATTCTCCCCAGTGGTGCCGCCGCCCGAGGGTGCGCACGCCAAATATGACATCCAGACTTTTGTCAAACAAGAATATACATATCATATTACACATTTGTGGATTGTTTTCTGTGGGTTACAAATATTAAAGTCCAATAAAATCTTCCATAAACATAGCAACATAGCAGTCAGTCAGTGCGTAAGTGTGCGTGGCCGACCAGTGTGGAGATAAAATGTACAGGAGAACAAGAGAAAGAGAAAAGGCGGGAGGAAAGTGCCGTTTAATGTTGTAAAATTACACACATCTTATGATTATGGGACATGGTGTTACTAGCAGGGCTGCCCTTATGTCACATCATATCGTGATATCACAACTAACATTCCAGAGTTAATTCTGGAAAATAAAGACCTGTATACTCGTTTCAGGAGGACGTCTCATGATAATAAACATAAATCCAGTCAGAGCTCTGATGAAATGCAGATGCAAAACAAACAATCCAAAGTGCCCAAAACTGATATAGGCCTACATAAAATTTGAATCTTGTTGTCTTAATTGTGGATTTTTTCCTTAGACAAAACAATTTATTATTTGTATACAGCCTGTTCCAATATACATTTCAATGTTTAATGCTGTAAATAAACATGTAAAAAGAATGAAACTTTCAATAAATGTTTTTAAAGTGCGTAAATAAATCCAAAATTGTAATCCTAACCCTGTTTTGTCAGTGCGCATGTGTAGGCGTAGCGTGTATGTGTGAAGTGGTAAAGAGGAACACTTGCTGAAGAGACGGAGTTCCAGCTTCATTGGTGTTGTGCAGAGTTGTCCGCACCTCGCTGGACTTTCGGATAATTTATCACCACACAAAGAATATTTTATCGTCTTTAAACACCCGTCTACTTGAAAAAGACCTGCAAGGAACGGCGACGTGCAATCGCCATGCACAAAAACACACATGATTCGACCATAGTCGACTTGACGATTCTGATTCGGCTAGGGAACAGCACTAGTGTCTGGTTTGGGGGTCATCCCCCAAGAATATTTTATTTTCTAATAGAAAAAATGCAACTTCATCATTTTGGACCACAATTATTACCACATCTGTGTACAAAAAGTTGAAAAAGCTAGAGCTGATTATAAATAAACACCACCCAAAAAGATAAATTTGTTAAATGGCCAAAAAGTAAATCAATTGCAGAAAATGTTGGTCAGAAAAATAGCACTTGTACTGCATTTGTAGAACACTCTGACGTTGCCACTATAATTCATAGGGTCACTGTCACTCATTTTTAGGGCATGCAAACAAGCAGGCAGACATCATTACTGAGTCACAACAACATCCTCAACTCCAACACAGGGCATGACGAAAGTAACTATTTCAATATGTGTGGCATATTTTTTGTGCATCACAGACCTTTGACTTCCCCAGTGAGCATTTAGCCTCCAGTCAAATCGTATTGGACTTTGAATTAATGCACATTACTGCCTGAGAATGCACTGCTGCTCTGCATCAGTGGAAAGAAGGAGCTCAAATAAGGCACGATCACATCTGAGGCATCATTTTCAGCAAAGGCACACATGTTTAGAGAAAGTGCGGAGGTTGAGCAAAGTTCAGAGGATTGCTTTCCTGTTAATGGGAGGTTTAGCAGGCGAGGCTCTGTAGTGTCATTTGAAGGCCTCTCCCTGTGGGTGACGTATTTACTGGGACCCAGACGGTGAGTCTACCTTTAGGGCACCCAGGGCCACTTTGTAGTGAGAACATGCCTGCTGAACTGAGGAACAAAACAACCGGATCAAGGCAGAGTCAAAGCAGTCATTCAGCCTGTCAGGCACATTACAGTAACACGGACGCAATTGGTTGGGGGTGTTGACACTTGTGAAGGAGCTTGTTATCCAAACTTAGAGGAAGTACCACACATGCACACACACAATCCTACTCTCTAATGATGTTCCCAGAGACTTCTGTTTCGTACATGCTGTAAGAAGGAGCACTTTGCTGTTGAAGTTGATTTAAATAGATTTTAATGAAGTTGTGCGCCAAGGTAGCCTCTGTTCATAATCAGGAGATGCAGGAGCAGCCGAGAGAGTTCTAACGAGGGCAAAGGGCGGGAAAAACTGTGTTTCCGTTTTTTCCCCCCCTTTCACTGCCAGAGGCTATTATGATAAATATGAAATTATGGATTACATTTTTTATACTTTTTTTCACAGCAATTAAATTGCCTGGACATCAGCGGCAGGATGGAGACAACATTAGCATTCCGTGTGTGTCACATTAATCCACATTAATTCTGAGCAGTTGCGACATCTGGGAGAGTTACAACCTCGTCCAAACAATTCAGGCCGAGGCGCCTTAATTTGGGGAAGGATTAAACAGAGGAATACTAATTGTTACGACACAGTGCGAGCATCCGCTAAAGATAAATTACTACTTAGTAAATAAATAAACATAACCACGAATCACTGAAAACAAAGCAATAAAGCAGCATTTTGTTGCTCCAAATGAATTGTACGATGTGACCTACATCTCAGACTACACCTATTCTCATTATGAACCCCCCCCATCCCCCGTCCCCCTTTCAAATCCATTGCTGATTGTATACTCTTTACTGGATCCACTGACTGCTCTTTCAAGTTGCTGATTCCTGTTTGTCATGTTAGCAGCTGGGGATAATTGGGTTGCTCCTTCTGCTGCCTGCTCTCTGTTCTCTATAAATACTCAGATTGAATGGCATGGCATATCAATATATTCACGTCTCCTTTTATGTAACTCAACAAAGCTTAATGAAGGCAGAATTCATTACTACTATTCCCACTGCACTCTGGAGTTAAGTAAATAAAGACTGAAACATCGATGCATACACCTCAACTCTGCAAACACTGACACACTTGTATTACTATCAGAGAACCATTAGGCTGTGCAGGGCCGACAAGCACGGCTCTCACAGACGATTCTGCCATTGAAGTGGTTTCTTGCTGCTTTGTGAGGATCTCGCTCACCCTTATCTTAGGAATCAGTGTCCAGCCGCAAAATTCATCTTCCGGCGATATTTCTCTGTTTCTCTGATGAACCTAGGTAGATTCTCAAGCAAGTCTGGGATTCTTCATATCGAACACATCCAGCTGGAATTAAATGTGGGCTGCATCACATCATGACCTTGTTTTCTGTATGTGCGCATGTCTAAGTGTTTTATCTTTAGTCATTTCTTTTATTGATTTAAAAAAAATCTCCTAGCATTTTAAAATGTGTAAGACCACGCTGCTTGTTATATAATCTATTTACACTAAAAGCTAATATCACCAGAAAAATGTCCAGGACATTTTTGTCGAGTTTAGCACAAAGATAAGAAGCACAGAAGAAAAGCTCCAAAACTAGCTTTGTAAAAAACTGAATAGTAGTATATTAGTAATATAAATTGGCAAATGTTTGATTTAAAGCCTTCCATGACTGCCATGACCCTGGTGAGCCCTAGGAAGAGCAACAGGCGCTTCTGTGTTGCCTGGAGTCAAGTAGAGAGCAATGAACTCTATCTGCACCAAATCAGTGCTACAAGGAGAAACCAGTGTTTTCTCTGCCACCAACCAGACAAGTGTTTAACTACATCAGTTAAACAAAGATAAGTAAATACATGGAACTGATCTCTAATGCCACACATTTTCTGTGTAATCCAGACCCACCACAAGTTAAAGGGGATGCGCATGTCAGAATAAAGTTCCTTTTCCTCGCACTCCCTAATTCTGGTGCCGCACGTCCAATATTTGATGTCCCTGGGCTCCAGCCCTCTCCAATAAGTTGATACTAATTATATTTGCATACAGTGTTTCCCCACACATAAACTTTGCTTGGCCAGGCCACCCAAGTATATTTGGCGACCCATTTTAGAATTTTGCAGAGAAACACAAAGTTGTTATCTATTAAGACAAGAGCGGACATGAGGATATATTACAAGCATGGACAAGGTAAAGCGACAGTGAACACACCAGAGCAGATGTCATTCGGTACCACAAAACGTTGGTTTTGATCGTTGCGATAGGCTTCGTCATTAACAAGCCTCCTCCACATACAGCGCACCTGCAGATGTAAAAACGGAATCGCTGGTGGAACAACACGACTTCTTTGTCTTTTCGGCGACTTTATAAACATAAACCTACTACTGATGTAGAACGTCAACAGAGAAACAGAAAGAGGCGGAGCAAGTCGCAGCGTTTGCAGCTGAGGTGTCCGTGTGTGGGGGGAAAAGAACTGAAGGGAAAGGAAGCCGATTCAAGTTAGCATGTGAGTAAACACTAAAATAAGGCAGAGAATTAAAATGGTCAAAAATATAAACCCAAGTCTAATAGAAATAGAAATATGGCCCCAAACCCGGGAGTCAGCTGCCCACAACAGGCCTAAAACAGCCGAGGTACCAGCACAAAAACACACCGCAGTTCAAACACTGCTACAGTGGTGATGAGAATCAAAGCCACCAAGACAACAGCTGTCATGCCTTCCATCTTTATGTACAGTCAATGGTTTATACATAACACTGACGGGACGTGTTATGGACACATTTAGGTCACTACCACAACAACACGTTTGGTAGGTACAATACCTAAGCCTCCATTTGACCGAGACAAAAAAACAGAAGCAGCAGCAAGCCTTTTATAACATGCCCCTCGTTTATACTGAGCTTGTTCAAAGCTCACATTCACACCTATGACAGTATATAATACTTGATGTTTCATGGTTGAGACAGATAAGAAAGTCAAGTATGTAACCATCTATGAGAGCTAATTATCACAAATGTTATTATCAGTTATTCTTGGCACTGTCACACAGTCACGCAATGTATACCAAATGCCATAATAAAAGAAAGTGAAAAGAACACAGGAAAATCAATCATTTGGCTGTGGTAAATCAGTCTAGTACTAACAAACTGTCTCTCCATGGACCATTTTTAAATGGATTGCTTGCCATTATGTTTCAACCATTGATTCAATAAGGGGCTCATAATGAAGATGTATGGGGACTGTGGAACCATTTATCCAATACATCTGACTGTGTAATTCATAATTCAGTCTTCATTGTAGCACTCTCAACAAGAAAGCCTGTCAGTCTGCAGAGGGTGAGAGCCTGAGGAAACACACATCACTCATTATTTAGTCTGGAAATGGAATTCCCAATTGAAGGTATCCCAGCCACTCCCTCCACAGTTTGTCAGACTGTGCAGTCTGACTGGGTGTGTCTTGTCCATTAATTTGTGTTAACTGTGAACTGCAAATCTGATGGGTTCCTCAAGTTTAGATGCTGACTGCACCGGCTGTAGTTACATAATTTTGTGGGCATATGCATGTTTGTAAATCCTGGCAATAAAAGCATGCGACAAGCCAAACCATTCTCTGTTTATGTCTAGGAGACAATTACTGATTTTGTTTATGGCAAACTGCTGTTGCAATGAACACTAACGTTGATGGTACAATAAGTTTCTGTACATTTAATTTACTTATTCAAAAAAGTTAATTTCGTGTTGATACACCCGTTTTGCCCAGTGAGGATTGGATAGTGTGGTTATTATTTCCCCCCTTTCCGCCAGGCGTAAACCTGGAGGGGATCATGCCTTTGGTGTGAGAGACCCGGGTTCAAATCCACTGTGAGACACCAATGTGACCCTGAGCAAGACACTTAACCCCTAGTTGCTCCTGAGGCGTGCGACCTCTGACATATATAGCAATTGTGTATCTCTCTCGCGAGAGAGAGAGTGCACGCTTTGGATGAAAGCGTTAGCTAAAATGAACAAGTGTGTGTTTCAGTCCACAGCTCATCTCGCATACTACCGGACCAATCAGCCTATTATTTTTGTGATTTACATTTCATTTTGTTGGCAGATTCTTTCGTCGTCATTTTGAAATTGATAATGATAATCATTCTACTACTCCAGCTGGCCCGGCCCATCCTGTTCCCCACCCACATGCCCCAGACACACCTGGCGGCTGGCGCAATACAAATTAGTGTGAAAATGTTTGAATTGCAGTGTATAGAGGATCTGTTTACAGTGTGTGTGAGAAAAGAACTGTTTGATATATATAGGGTGTACAAAGTTTAACTCTTACTGCTTTGAATCCAAAATATCAGTTTTGTTATCAGCTTTCTGAAACCCATCATGAGCTCTATTTTTCTACTTTATTGATTTAGCTAGCTGAAACCGGTGCCTTAGCATGTCAACTTGTAGAAACTTTAACATCAACCTTTTAATTATGTAACTTTCTGAAGTCTTTCAAGTGCACTCTGGGATTTTAGTTTTACAGCACTTTGACAGCAAGATCAATGTGACGTCTAGACATGTGGTAAGATCAGCTTCTCTCAGCTCTGACTTCCAATTGGCCAAACCGCCCCCTGAGATCTTCAACAGCAGATCAGGTAGGCAACGAGAATTAACTTTCTATGGTAGCAATATTGCTCTTCACTTGAGATATCACCAGGAGTAATTATACCTGATATGCAGTAATGTTTCCACCAGGGATGAGAACACATCTACAATGCAACACAATATCACTGCCCCCGGCTAATGGAGAAGATAAGGACGATGCTTTGGTAAACTAAGAGTTTATCTAGTCTCCATTCTTATGCAAGAGACAAACTCCCAACCTCATCCCTTTACACAGTCTCTCACCACCATCTCCAATGCATAGATAAAATTTAAATTATTCAGAGGATACTTACTGGTTTACTGAATGAATGGCTTTAATTGAACTAAAGATGCTTTCTCTAATGTCCTCCCTCAGAGTTCCTTTGGCCTTCAAGATCTCCACAAAGTACTGTGAGAAACAAGAGAGCAGAGGGAGAGAGAGAAAAGCACATTATTTTTCAGTATTTGTATTTAAAATGTAGAACTGATCTGATTGGATATACATTTGATGAATGGAAATCATTTTGAGAAGGAGTTGCTTTCAATGCTCACATCTCAATTACTCTACCAACACAGAAAGCAAATTAACAGCAACAACAGATCCTTCACAAACAGTGTCGGGGTAATATTATTACTTTCCTCAGTTACTAGTAGTGTAACGGATTACTTTTCTAAAACAGTAATATTATTACAGTTACTAATCCAAGTAACACTGCATTACTGCATTACTGCACACACCATCACTGATGTGAATGCGCAACTGCACTGCAGGTCAACGGCATCGGACCTTATGTTTTTCATGTTGCTGATAGCCAAAAAGCTAAAGGAAGAACGGAGAACGGGGGAGAGAGGCTTCTTTCCACAGCTGTAAGCTACTGCCTTTATTGTGTCACAGTTTAAGATGCAAATAATAATAATAATAATCTTTATTTGTAGAGCACTTTTCAAAAACAAGTTACAAAGTGCTTTAACAAGTTTAAAGACAATAATACCCAAAAGACAATAATACAAAAACAATACAAGATAAAAGCAAGAAAACATTGAAAAGACTAAAATACACGTTTAAGATAAATTTAAAATGAGTAAAATAGAATAAAATAAAAGGGATAAAATAAAGTCAAATAAGATCGGGAAAGGCTCTCCTGGTTTGGAGCGAATAAACCAGGCTACAGCAAGCGTAGTTACGTCAGTAGTTGACGTTACACATGGCTGTAATAAATAAGATGTATGGGTTCCAAACCAGAAACAAAACTAGTCGCATGAACCTGATGGCCATTGATCTTAGAAAAATGGAGAGAGGTCCTCAGAAATATGTTTCAAGCGGGCAAGTTGCTACGTTATGTGAATATCCGGTGTTATGGCGAGTTTTGCATGCCTGCAGAGAATTGCATGCACCTCCAAATACTGCTTTTTTACGTTTTGTAAAAATACTGAATACTGCTCTTATAAATAGGCTAAATGTGCAGAAAAACAGTAGTTCAAAAGGTCAGGATTAACTTGTTTTATTTTTTTATTTCAGCCGGTGGTGTTAAGAAATGATATATGCTTTGTAAAAACCATACTCCTTGCTGCTGCTATGAATATGATATTAGTTAAAAAGTCGGGAGAGACTGCTTTGTTTGGGGGTGAAGGTAGAGGTCGTGAAAGCGGCGTTTCCCATACATTGATTTGACACATGTGTATGGGATAATTATCAATGCTATATAAACGCAATATAGTAACATAATGAGTAACGTAACTAGTTACTTCTATTACCCAGTAATAAGTAAAGTAATATTATTACTTTTTTAGGAGTAATAAGTAACTAGTAATATATTACAATTTCTGAGTAACTTGCCCAACACCTCATTTATAGAACTGTGCATAGGATTTACATCAAAAGCTTGAGTGCGCACGAAACACAGAAATTGTTTCCGCACGAAAATATTATGATTTATAACACTGGAGCTCGACCCCCTTAATGAGCAACAGGAATTAGAAACAAAGGTGAGCCAGGTACATCATTTGGAATACTTTGTTTAAATACAGTTAAAAAAGAGTAAAGTTGTGTTTAAACATTTCCTCACACAAACCAATGAGACATTTTCTATAGTTTTTAGTCGCTGCATGTTCCAGCGGCGAGTGCACCATGAGTACATTGAAAATACTGTTACATTTTTCCATACTTCCATAGTTTTTACAAGCAAGGCATCACATCCACATGCTGGCGCAATGCGTGTGGCGTGTGTATGAAAAGTGCTAATATATGAAACTATGCACTTGTATTTGCTCGACTGAGGTATCAAAAACACAGCAGTTTAAACGTAATGTGTCCTGCTGTTCCCCTTATTAATGAATGAATTTCATAGCAAGCAAGTATTAATTACAGATTAAATTAAATCAAATAGGTTTTGGGTTGTTCTGAAAAGATCTCATTTAAAAAATATTTCTTAAAGAGGTGGTGTTATGCTCATTTGCAGGTTCAAAATCTTATTTAGGGGTTGTACCAGAACAGGTTTACATGGTTTAATTTAAAAAAAAAAAAACTATATTTTTGTCATATTGCATATTGGTGCAGCTCCTCCTTAAGTTTTAACTGAGTTCTGTCTCTACATCACAGTAAAAACTTTATGTCCACTGACTGCATAATACTACCTCTTTAAATCATGTTCTTTTAATTGTGCACTTGAGAGACTATCAATTAAATGGGTGTTTATTTGTTTAAGAATGTTTTTTCTACTAAATATTATACAAAGTTTTATATAATACTCATCTCTCTGCCATATGAGTCGCAGTTTGACATTTCTCCAGTTTATATGTGCGTCCTCAAGGGAACACACTCTCCCGTCAAGTTTGTTTTTACTGTAAATCCCAAAAGTTAGAAAGTGGCGTACGCCTTCTTTTGTGCGTATGCTGCCATTATACTGTATATCTGCATGGCTCATATGAAGCACAAGTACAGAGGGCTTTTGTTGTGCCACAACACTCACAATAAAGCGACAGCTGTGTTGGTCTCAAGTCATTTGAAGTGAAAATGGCATTAGCAAACTAAATGTGCATTAGGCCTAAAAATTACTCCTAATTGGAGAGAACGGGCGGAGGGTGAGTAATTGTGTAGAAATGAGGCTGCAGTGGTGGGTGGGAAAATCTGTTCTCTCCACAGGAAGGAAGAGTACCATGAATGCTACCTTGAGTCTGTTAATATGCATTATACAGTAAAAGTGCACTTCACATGTTTTAATGCAGAAGTGGAACATATTGTATAGTATTACCTGTTTGTTCAACTGTTTGCCTCTGACAATGTTTGGCAATCCTAAAATGATACATCACGATATCTGTCTTTTTCACAGGCATTTTGCATTAAATGCTTGTGAAAAAGTTTATTTGCAGCAAAGCCAAACTGTTAGAAAACAGCACAATTCTGCAGCACACTTTTTTCAGACTGTAAATTAAAATTGCAGAACTGTAGAGAAACTATGAAAAATTATTCTAAAATAATTTCTTTATAAATGCACATAAAAATGCAAATTCACTGAATTTACTGAATTTTTTGCTGAAAATACAAATGGCTGTGTACCACAACGTCTAATATATACATCGCATTTTAATAACTGTTCAGCGGCACAGCATTGTGCTGCCCTTTCTCCACCTAGTGATAGCTGTATATTTAGGCATCATTAAAAATTATAAAACCTAAATAAGAGTCTCAGCCTGAGGACATCTACATGCTAGTTAGGAGTTGCGCCACCTACTGGCAACAGGAAGTAAGCCCTGTGTGACAATCGTGATTCCGTGACATTTTGTAGTCCTTCATATTCTGGAATCTAATGTAAAATTAGTGGGTGTTCTCTAGCGCCACATAGGGGACACTGGAAGTGATGTTTTACTCTTTCGTGCAGCATCCAAAACGTGTGAAAATTCTGAGCCGCATCAATCGACCTCCAGGGACTACGCCGGAGATGCAGCATGCCCCGACATACGTCGAAGGTGCGAGGGCCCATTCATCACTATTGGATTGGATTCAAGACATCTTAAGGTCCCCAACTGTATAGGAGAAACCCTGATTTTGAATCGGAAATATCGAACATGTTTGAGGTTAAACCAGTGCTCCTGACTGATATAGTACATACAGTGGTGACCAGCTCCAGCTGCCGGCAGTAGCGCTGTTCTGTCTGGACCAACTCTTTGGATATTCGGCTGCATTTTCTCTTCCAGCGGTCCCTCTGCTCCTGGATAGTGGTGCACCCGAGGGGAGCGGACGGACCAGGGGAGAAACTCATGATCACAGTGATGGGTAGGACACTGCAGAGACACAAGCAATCAAAACAGGCCAGGTTTACAGACAGGCATTGCACTAACGATAAATCAAACATGATGCCACATACATATGGGTGTGTACTTGGCTTTTACTAGAGCCCCACAGGGAAAGAAATTGTCAGTAGTCAAGTAATAACCTGTTTAAGAGAAGATACTTCACAGTACTGCTGCTGCATGCATTTATGCATATTTGCATAATACATCAAATTTATTATTGAATACAGTATATATATTTTCTTACTAAATTGTTGACATTTTTATCATCCACCACATGATTAACCACTCTTTTGATGAAAAATGTGCTTAAATCATAAAACACAGAATTCAATCGACTAAATAAAATGAATCTGGTATAAATTTAAACAGATTTCATAGGACGCTTCACAACTGTTAGCAAGACATGTGATTGGAACTCCACGAATCCACCACAAAACAAAATGATGATTAAACACAGACTCCCAGCCTAATGAAACCAGAAATATGTGAGTGACACAACAGCAAGTGAGGATTTTAAGCATTGGTCAGAGTTCCTCTCAAAACTACACATTAAGAAGAGTACCCTATGAGACGCTGGCACAGACCAGATTTCCAACAACAAATTAGCACCAGCCAAATGCTGGTGAAACATGGAAGTGGCCGGTAGATTTCAAACATAAAATAATTGCCATTGAGTGGCTGGTGAGTTTGAACATTTATCTGTCAATGGTTGATAGATGTTCACATTTTAAAAGTTTATTTTCCACCCTGAAAGCAACACAAGCTATCATGTGATACAGTTGGGACGTTGTTGAGTAAATTAGTACCCTATATTATTTGTCTTTATTGCCATTTGATACTATATGTATTAATATATTAATATTACACATTAAGTAAACATAGGTCTTTTGGACACTAGCCTATATTTGACTAACAATAGCTTGATTTGCTGCTGGTAAATCTCACAAACCTGATGACATGTTGCTTCACAATAAAAGCCTCCCACTGGTTCACTAATGGAAAGCCTTTATATTTGGAGCAGCAAGAGGAAATTCTCAATTTACATTAACAGTAACTTACTAACTACTAACATAACTCAAACACAGCAGTAGGGAAAGTAAACAGTGATAGGTCTGATAACCAAAAGCAGGAATGTAGAAGCGAAACTAAACACCAAAGCACAGAGATTCAGTTTAAAGCTGAAGTGAATAGTAAGGATTCCAAAGACAGAGCTCTCTCTCCAGTTACTAACACAGCCACGCCCGTGTTGAGCCAGTCTGTTAGCACAAGACAAAATATCAGGATAGCTGCTTTCAGTCCTGCTACCAAGAAGGGTCCCAAAGGTGCAGGTCAGAACAGAACAAGCAAAATATACAAATGGAATTTTTACTTTGATTTTAATTTAACAAGCACTTTCCCTTATGTCTGGAGAATATGACTTGTAGGCCTGGGCATCTCTGTAACACCACAATGCTTGCATTTGCAATGATAGATGTTCTCCTGCAATTTGGATATTGTACTTGACCATATTGTTATTTAAGTCTTTTCAATTTAATTTTGTTCAGCCTCAAGGGAAAGGTCTAAAATATGCAGATATATGTCCCATGATATCACATTATTGCAGTTTATGCATCTGTGTTGCATTTTATTCTGCTGTTAATTACATAAGAAGTGTCAGGAAATGGAATGCATGTCGCAGCTTCTAGGCTAACGTTACACTGAAGAAGGCAGCTGTTAACGTCAGTTTATAATTCATAATCAGCTGTTTGCACAGGCTGCAAAGTAGCATAAAGGTGTTCTTTAATTTAACAGTAGTAACTATTAGGCTAGGCCTATAACGTTATACAAAATAACCTAAACAGGACTGGCGTTGGACAGGTTTTAGTTCAGACATTTTTTTTTAGCCTTTTAGTCAAACTCGTTAACGTTAACATGGTCCGCACCTGTAACATTACAGCTGCACACTGTTAAACATTAGCCTACATACAAAGACACCAAACTGTAACATTAGTATAATTTCATGTAACGTCGCTGTTACATAAAAGGTAACGTTAGGCTATGCTTTTAGTCGGAAGGATATTATCACTATCACACAGTCACTGTGAGGAAGCGACAGGAAGAACATCTGTCAAATGTTCAACCTGCTAACGTTATATGTTACAGTAACGCCGTGTGTGAGAAACTAACTGCTGTATCAACAAGCAACGACTTTACAAAGCTTAGAATCCGTGTGTTGAAGTAATCTGGAGCTTACCTTCAGGTAACGTCTTCACTTTGAACCAAGGCGCTCTTTTCGGCTTCAGCTTCCTTTTTCCGGGCTGCGATGTTAACACGGACGCTGATTGGCTGCTACACACTGCGCCAACAACAGGAAAGACCTCCCCCTGTGTGCACACAGCTGGACCTATGAGCTGCACGGAGACTGCAGGAGCTACACTCTGAACTTTAGTTAACACACATTCACTACAGATATTTATATTTAGTAACGGACGCATCACAAATGCTGTGTTAGGCCTACATGTCCTTTCCTTTCCAGGAACATGTAAAAACTAGTCCCAAAACTATTAGACTAACCAGAACCCTAAACTCTAAACATGTGTGGCATGGGATCTGTACCACTGAATACAAAAACTCTTCATGTCATTTAAAAAAATATTACTGAGAACATGACCTTAGTGTACTCAACAGTAGCAAAGCCTCTGTATACCTTGAAAAAAGTTGCTCAATCATTTCAGATTCTACATCACATTTATCCTGGAGTTTGTAGTTTGGTAATCCAGCTGTGCTTTTACTCATTTAATCTAAGGAATAAGTCATATTAAATGCTTTTTGTATACTTGAGATTAAAATGTCCTGTTTGTACTTTTTTTCACTTAAAGATCTAACTGAAGTGGCAACAAGTGCTGATAGATGGTGCACTGGTTGAGAGTGGATCCAGAAGAAAGCGCAGCTCAGCAGTTTTTAGCTCATTATGAGATAAAAGTGATGCCCTCAGTAATCAGGGCATGACGCAAGAGGCTATCGCATGAAATCCATGAGGACTGAGGACTTTCAGGTAAAAAAAATAGCATGCATTTTTTCTGGAGGATATTCCAGGCTGTAGTTCATGTTGCCTGCAGCCCCACAGAGCAGCAGGAACACTGACATCTAGTGCTGCAGGACAGGACACAAGTCAGAAGTGTGTACACATGTAGTACTGGATATCCTATGGCATCTCAGTGGTTTCAACCACTTTCACTCACAAACTAATAAAACTGTATCTTGCAGTTTCACTGAATTCACATGTGGGTAAGTAAATAAAGAACTTTACTTTCTTTGTATAGCAACATTTAAAGAGCAGAGACGTCACAAATGCTATTATGCGTTTTGCTTCACAAAAGAAATCAAGCTTCCAACATACATACAGACATAAAACATCATAAAGAAAAATAAAACAATTACACAAAGACAGGTCTACAAATATGAAGTCAGAAGACACTTCCAAAATTTAGGAGCCACATTCTCAAAGGCACAGCCCCCTTTAGTGTTAAGCCTAGATCATGATAACAGGAACTTGGATACTGCTTGTAATTTGGGGCTGCATTAGATCTCTACTGTAGGCACGTGCCTGACCATAGAGCTCTGTAAGTGATCACAAGAACCTTCAGTTGGATTCTGAATTTTATTAAGAGAGCTTAAACTCTGTGTCTTGTCTTTTGTGTTTGTTAATTGCTGATAATACAGGCAAATGTTGCGCTATAGTGACTGTTTCTGATTAAAAACAAAAAAAATCTTACTCTTTAAAAGAATGTCCACAGTGTTGTCAGACAGACACTTTAGTGGACGTACTTTGACGAGGCGCAAATGCCTTCAGGGATTACATTACAGCCCTGTTTCACTGCTGTTGACTGCAGCATTCTCACTTAATAGTGAACCAATTTAAAAAAATGTTGTCCCAGTTTCATAGTCACATAGACCCGAGAAGATGGAAAAATAGGGTCCAGGTTGAAAAATACCAAATTAAGCCTTTAAGTTATGTTACGTTAGATTTATCTAGTTGACACGTTTATCTAAAGCGACTTAAAATAAGTGTATCAATCAATCAACCATGTGGATACAACCCAAAAAGTGCTACATTTTACATTTAACATTAGGTCACTAAAACTTCATATGAAGTTGTCACATATGTTAGTTAATCACACGTGTTTTTTCTTTCCTGTGAGGGAACATAAAACAGAAGCAGACATGATGACCTCCCAGCAGCTCTCCGCACACCAGGAGCACAACATGTTCAGCAGGTACTGTGGTGGAGTCTAAAGAGAGTGAGGTAAAACACTGCAAATTGCTGAATAGATAAAATGCACCTTTAATGAGAGGACTATTAAAATGCATGATATTGGTAGGCCCGCTCTTTATTGTTTTCAATTTCATTGTGTTTCCAGTACATTTGGTATTATAATAATTGGCCCCAAAACAGACTGGTGCAAATTAGGCCTCTTTTGCCTCGAGGCGATGGCGGCATGAACAGGAGACCACAGACAAAGGGTCCATTTTTTTACCTGAGGATAGCAAAAAAAAAGAAAAGTAAAAGCATCAATAATCTACACAAGTGGAGGAACTCTCCCACTCTCCCAAGGTTCTGGAGCCCCTCTGTGTATTATTCATACCAGCTATTGCCAGAGGACTCATAATTGACCTCTGCACTTTGTAAAAAACTTCATGAGATGAAAGAATGTGATGTTTTGTAATTCAACTTTTGAGTCCCCCTATCCCCAATCCAATAGTATTGAATTGCAAGTCATGAATTATTCAACGCATAGGAGGCAAGTCTACTTTAGCTGGAAGATGTTATATGAAACAAGGTTGCAAGACCAAGAGATATCAAATTAGTTGGCTCTAAAATAAAAAAAAAACAACAACAACAAATAAACATCACATCAAAATAAATAGGAGCACTGTAGGACAGGTATCTCTTAAGTGAATAAAGGGGAAATATTACTGTCAAATAGCACTTTTCCTGCAGTATGCTGGCACTTAATGTGAAAAAAAATCTCTTAAGTGTTTATTGATGTGGAATCCCATTATCTACCATTGCTGAAGGGGGGCAAAGGCTTCATTTATGTTTTAATGCTTCAGCACCTGCTCTTCACTTAACTTCCAAGTTGTAATTAACTTTTTTTTTTTTTGTCAAATGGTAATTGTGACGTCAAGTGTTGACACTTGAGTCTTGCTTCTGGGGTGCTCACAAGTATATAATTGTATCAGTTAGACTTACGTAGTATAATTGTGATGTTTCTGCAATTGTTTGAGAGCTTACAGTAAAGTCTCTCTTGTCATGAGAAGGCTGGACTCTTTAAATTAGGGTAATCATTTAAAGTATACATCTGTCTTACACAAACCTTTTCCAACTTTGTCGAGATAAATCTTGGGTTGAAGAAGTATAAATAAAGCATTAACATGGACATTAAATAAACAGAAATATGTAGGCAGAACAAAAACAGAACAAGAGCTGTTCAAAAGCAATTAGCTGTAATTGCCTATTGTCTACCTTTAGTAGCCTTGGTTAAAACTCTCAATCAGCCTTTGAAACATTGCACTCCGCACTCCAATGCTGCTTTGTGTTTTGTAGAATGGCGAGCTCATTAAAGTGAAATGACCATTTGGCCTTGGGAGAGAAAAATAATCACATGGAAACAAACAGCTGCACAAAATTGAGTGACACTCGAGTGGTGGAGGACCATCAAAACAGCCATGTGTTTGCAAAACCCAGTGGTTTTCATGGGTAATGATAAACTGTCTTGCCCGCAATTACTGAAAGCACTGGGTGGCAGGGTTTTTAATGTGTGTCAGTGAGGTCTGCTCCTAATTGTCGGTCAGGGACAGTAACTCACTCAAAAGCTGTCGCTCATGCATCAAACTGCAAAATAGGCCTGGATTGAATTGTCACATAGACAAGGTCTGTGGGGCTGCAGAAAGCCTCCAAGATATCCCAACACACTATCCTGTTTGTACTCTGCTCTTTTAAATTAGCACCAAATAACCACACCAGGGTACCATTCTCCCCCCCCAAGAGATCCTGATAGACCTCACCTAGCTACAACCTCTATACTTTTCAGACAGCATGGGTATTGCACAGGTGTGCCTTAGACTGGCCACAATAAAAGGGCACTCATTGCATATATATATTTAAGTTCATTACCTGCCTACATTCTGTTGCTACCTGTCCATTACCGGTTCTCTTTAAGCAAATACATACAGTTACTGTATTACTACACAACCTGTCTACATTACAGTTTATTAATTTAATCACCACAGTACACCAGTCTACCTCACTATTATATTTTATATAATATTTTTATTTTATTATATTTATACTTTATGCCTTCATTGTAGATTTTCTTTTTTCCATTTTCCTTGTGTGATTTGCTTTTGTATATTTTGTATTAGCATTGTTAGGGTGAAACTGAGAACAAGAATTTCATTGCCAACAGCTGCTTCACTGTAATTGTTGTGTATGCCAAATAAAGACCTTAAACTTATAAAACCAAGTCTTATCCTGCAAAATATATTCAGAGTCTCAGCAATGTTGCTCTCATGTTGCTCTCATGTTGCTCCTAGTTTTCCAGGAAACACCCTTAATTTGGTTGATTGAACTTGCCAATGAACAGGTAGCACTGCGGCAAATGATACCTATACTACTCAATGTGTACAATTACTGTACTAATGCTGAGGTACTTGTACGTAACGTAACATTTTTTGGTACTTTTTACTTCTACACTACTACATTACAGAAACAAATATGGTACTATTTACTCCACTGCATTTATCTGACAGCTTGACTACTTTTCAGATTAAAATGTTACATTAAAAACATATCAGTTTATAAAATATAACACATTGGTAAAGTTGGTTACTAGCTCATTTTTATTTCCTTGTGACCCTCTTATAATGAAGCTATGTAGCATAATTTTGTTGTTCTTCTTTTCTCTCCTATTAATTATTTTACAACTCCTCAGATTTATCTTGTGACTCTTTGGAGGGATCCATCCCCCAAGTTGGTAACCACTGGATATAAATACCTAACTGTTAAACCATCTCTACTGCAATCAGCTTCAACCGTGAAAAATGTTGCTTTCACATTGACGCATCAGTATTAATAATTAATGTAATCAATTACAGGGGCTGCTTTTCTACAAAAAAAGTACTACTACTACTTCTTCTACTACTACCATTAGTATTTTTAAATACAAGACATTTACTTGCAATGGAATATTTTTACATTGTTGTATTGGTAATTCTTCCTTCACTGCAGTAGTAGGGGAGGTTTAAAACTAAAAAAACAGCAAGGATTTATGGTTATAAAGGAAGAGACGATAGTCTTCATTGTTTGGGCAAATAGTGCAA